AAAGATTAGAGAAGACAAATGTATTAAAAAAACCAGATTCTCTCGATCTTCGATGATGAGTCCATTAAAATTATTATTTTTCTAATAAACCGGAGTGGTGGTGTCGTGTGTGTTTGTGCGTGAAATGTAAATCATTCCACCGTGGGTTACGGTCTTACGGAATACCACCATAATGGGGTACGACGGACGGGGGGACCCGTTGTTTCTCGAAAACAACACGAAAAAACAAACCGGTTTTTGTAATGAAAGAGATCGCTACAACTCTACGAGTATACGGTTCCGTTAAGACAAAATAAAATATAGTATTTCATATACATTGCCTACAAAAACTTTTTTTCGTATGAATACATTTGTAATAAGTTACAGGTTAGTATTTACGAACGTCTGTCGTTTTAACCACAATCGGAAAAATAAAGGATCTGAGTACACTACATAGTATATATGTTCAAAAAAAAAAGATAAAACCAGAACATTCCTTTGTAGACTTGTAGTGGTATATTCGTATTCCTAAATCGTATTTTGCACACATTGGCAAATTATAACACACCACACACCAGTGGGCCGCAATAATAAGAAAATCGGTATTTTTTTAAATCGTGATGATACTATATAATATGAACAACAAAAGTTATGAATAATTATTAGAAATGTTTGTTCCTAAATAGGAGATATACTATTGAACGTCGAGAAAAATATTTCAAAATTGTATGGATTGATACAAGTATGTAACTAGTCATTGACTAGCGTATACATTTTAATTTCCCGAACGTTTCCGTAATGTAATCCTTGACCAACGCTAACTAGTTATAGATTGACGGCTATATATATTTACGATATATACCTAATATATGTGCACACATAGGTGTGGAAGTCATGTGGGCTAGTGGTAAGGACATATACAATCGCCTACATACCACGCATCTTCTCGTATGGCATAGACCTTGAGCAAACCTTGATGGAGACAAAAATCCTGTGTGGATACCAATGTCACCAAAAATAATGTACATTTACAGAGGTAAGTTCATCTCGTATACTAAAAATATTATAAAATACTGTTACCTATCACAATTAGTTATAAGTCATAACCATATTCTTGAAAACAAAATCAAAACAAACAACAAATTCCTAAGAGTTATTATTTTTTCATGTCAAGAATGCGTATTATTACCTACTATCGTAACTAAATATTATCAGTATAATAAACTTAAACGAAATTATTAAAAACCGCATAATATGTAAACTCGATAAAAAAAACAGGGTCATAATACAAATATGTATAATGTAGGACTAACTATTTTACGTGGGAAGAAAAAAATAATGATACACTTGTTATTATTTTTAATTATTTTAAAAATATGAAAGGTATTATAAACAGTTTGTTTTTATTTTGACATGCGTAAAACAAATTACACTTTATTTTAACCATTCGTTTTCAACATTTTAAATTAAAACAGAAATATGAGTTTGATCTATAACAAACTACCCACATCATCAACTACTATTAATCACAATGATTTAATAACTATTTTATGGATACAAAATTAAACAAGTATCAAAAAGACAGAACTCGGGTTTTTATTTAACCTGAACAATACCTTATTTGGCTGATCTTAAAGTTGGTAATTATATAAACTGAACATGGATATTATATAATATAAGATAATTTCGAAAAAAGTTTGAACATTACTTCTTATTAACTAATAAATAGGTACATCAAATAAAATGTTAGGAGGTATTAACATGAAAAATAAATTATATTAAAAACAATGCCCCTCTCTTATTTGGAATAAATATATTATTATAACTACTATTTAGTATTTACTTGTGCTGAACATTCGTTTGAACTAATGTATAACTAATACTATTAAATTGCACTAATGTATGGTTTAAAAGGTTTTGTGTAATTAGGTATTTACTAAGTAATTATTTATAATTAGCTCGCAGTTTAAATTTTAAATAAATATAAGACCTGTCTTTGTTCAAACATGGTGTACCCAAAAATATGTAACTTAGCTAATAAATAATATACCAAAGTAAAGGTAAAATAAAATAAATAAGTATAACTAATCAAACCATTAACTAATTATTTAACCACCGGTTTTAAAAATTAACTATCAACCTATTAGTACAAAATTATTCAAAATGTTGTTATATACGATGTAGGTACACTATTGAAATGCTAAATGGAATATTATCAATTTGTTTGCAAATAATTTTAATAATTTTTAAAAAAAATTCCATTTTAACAATTGTGATTTGACATAACCCAAAACCAAAACAATTTCGCAAAAAAAAAAGGCACCACAGGCAATATCTGTCATGTGAATAGAACACACGCCTTTATAGCTCCGTCAATATTATAAGATCGAAAATAACAATAACGCATATAGGCTCGACTGCTCGAGGCTAAAAGAAGACATTATGTCCAAAACGAAGTATATATATATTATATAATATATACAGAGCCAACGACCTAAAAACTATTTTCAACTGCAGTGTCCAGAGGCGCAAACACACACGTAAATAATTGGCGTTGTCAACAACATCTCTCTGGTGATTATAAGGCGTTACAATAAACGAACAATAAAATATGATATAATAATAATAATAGTAATAATATTAATAATGAAATAAATAATCAAACGTCACAGCCACTGTGCCAACTGACCATCACAGTGTCGCATTGTCCACGAATCTCAAGGATTTACGGGACCTTTAAGTATGGTTTACTTCATATACACATCATGGGTGAGATAAAACTAGAGTTTTTCTAACTTTAACCATTCCCAGTCGTTATACCTATGGCCCGACTGTGTTAACAAGATGATGCTGACTTGTTGAATATCGTCGACTTTATACAGAAGCGTGACGCAATCTTATAATACCATCACGTATCGAGTCACGCACAATGTGAGCAAGCAGATTATTTGGCCAATACATATACAGACATTATACAGGTAGGCATAATATATAGGCAAACATAATATGAGACGTGTGGACGAGTAGATACAACACAGATCGGTCTTCAAATACCGATACCTCATCGCCGAGAAAACAATCACAAATACAATGGGTGGTGGTTATTATAGGATTTGGTATGTTTGCAAATACAACAGCTATGGCACGGCAATTTTATTGTTGATAAATTGAACTCTTAAAAATCAAAAAATATACGATTACAAATGACGTAGTAAAAAATTTAAAGACGTTTTTATGGAGATGAGAAATTCGGTTTAATATGCATTATCTATTACCGTTATTTGAGAGGTACTTAAAACGCCACTTGATGTGGCTTCTCTAATTGAAGTCTACGAGTCTTTGTACATGTATTAATCTATTTTTCACATACCCTTAGGCCTTAGTGTAAAATAATATTTACAAGTTGTGTATTTAAATGTTCAAAAAAATGTTAATAAAATGTATCCAGACCTTGGATTTATTTTACAATTAAGTAAAACGAGAACATAAATATTGAAGATATGCAACGGTAAGTACATATATTTACCAGTTTTTAAGAAATTTCAAATCATAACTTATAAGAGGTTGTCAGAGCATTTGTATTTCTATTTCTGACCAACGCACAACATAGATTACTCAATACTTATAACTAGCTTTAAGATTAAATAAAAAGCCTATGAAATGCCATGGATAATAATCTTCCCTTTAAATTTTATAAGAGGTCATTTCACTCTAATTATAGAAATTATTATAATTATAATCATTATTGTGAACGTACAATTTGCCATGTTTCGAGTGGGTCAGAGAGAGAGAAAAAAATGCACCGACATCCTCTTGACAAGTAATTATGAAAAAATAAATAAAAATGCATAATCATTATTTTTTAATTCCTCATACTTTAACAACACTTGTTGATATTACACTCTTATGTAGTAAGAATATTATTCAAAATCTATAATAGTTCTCAGCTTCTCATCCGTAACAGAATAATATGCAGTAATTACATTATACAGAATATGAATATACCCACCTACATACAAGTATACAACCGTGATACCATAGAGCCATAGTCACATAGAGCATTAATACCCAAATGGACTCAGAGGAGATACGTATTAATAATAATAACAATAATAATAATAGCAATAATAATAATAATAATAATAATAATAATAATAATAATAACAATAATAACAACAGTATAGTAATAATATCAGTACATATTTCGTACTGTGCTCTTATTACAATATTAGGTATGCAACAAAACTGTGAGCGCATAGAAAATTGTGTATGATATTTTAAAGTGCAGACCAGCTGCACCAGACTTACCCTGCAGGTCTCCTCCCAGATGGGATCTTCGCAGCCGGCCGACGAACCAGACGAGCCCCTACGGCCTGTCGGGTCCCACGAGTTCCGGCGCACCGAGTCCAACGAGTCAGTGGAAAACCGTCGCCAGGCTGGCACCGCCGATAAGGAGTCCTTCCGGCCAGCGCCCGTCGAGTCGCGACGCAACACCACGCCGGATGCAGCTGCAGCGGTAGACGACAGCGAGGAATTCGGCGGCGATGCCGATGACAGCGAATCGCGACGCGCCGAGTTGATAGAATCTCGACGCAGAGACGTCGTGGACGACGCCAACGAGTCACGGCGCAAAGAAGACGGGAACGAGGACGGATGGTGACACAAGGTGTCGCGGCCCGGCGAACCCAACACAATAGAATCACGACGCCGCATGCTGGCCGCTGGTATAGAAGCGGGCACGGAATCGCGTCGGGGCACAGCCGCGATCGCGGCCGCCGCCCCGGACACCACGCTTCCGCGATGGTGGTGATGATGATGCAGGTGCTCGGACTTTCGGCGGGCGTTGCCTCCTACACCGTGCACGTCGCAGTCGGCTGTCACGGCGAAATGCACCTTTTCCACGGACGACCTTTTAGTCTTGGAGTGCTCATCGCCGCCGCCACCGTCTCCAATTTTAACGTCATCGAACAGGGCCTCGAGCCTCTTGAGCGCAGCCGCGGTGGCCGTCATTTGCGCGCGCGACGTTAAAGCAATATACTTAATTTATAATTGTTGTGGATATATGCGGGACCGAAACTGCAGCGGCTGTGCACCGTATCTCGACAATAATATAGTGAAACCACCGATAGCGACGATGAACAAACGTTGAACAAACGATGCATACGACACCCAGACACGTGCGCGTGAACCGGCTACGCGAACACTATTGAAGGCCTGCGCGGCCTCCCGAACACGGGCTACGGGCATTGTAGTCACCGCGGCAGTGGCCCCACCAAACGACCACCATATTGGGCTCGGTTACCCGCGCGCGCGCTGCAGCACCGGGTGGTTCCGCGCGCGTTTACGTCCGAACTCGCTGCCGCACACGCGCCATCCGCCGAGTATTGTTGTAACGCATATTACAACGTAACGACGTTCGACGAACAGATATTGTTATTCGCGCACCTACGGCGGATCCGGCACGGACTCTTGCGAAATCGTCAATTATTGTCGTACCTCGACGGCCGCCACCGCGCCGCCCGCCCGACCGAGGAATGCGTTTTCATCGTTGTCGTCGGTGGCACTGCAAAGTTCGAACCAGCCAATTCGCACGTATATGATATTGTTGTTGTTGTTGTTATTATTATTATTATTATTATTATTATTATTATTATTATTATCATCATCATCATCATCATTATTATTACCATAGTTATTATTATTGAGTATTATGTGACTCAGTGGCGTGCCGAAGAAAGTATTTTCGAGGCATTTGCTCCAATTCTAAAATTGGTGGGTGTGATGAATGTTAAAAATTCAAAAAATATATAAATAATTTATTTATTACTTTTTGCTGTAAAAATGTATTTATAGGACATAAAATATATTTTTGGTAGGTGGGTCTTTAATCATTTATTTTGTCTCAAATTTAAAAACTTCAACGCGCCACTGTTATGCGTGTTATACTTATACCTATTATACTTATACCTATAGCCTACCAAATAATGATGGTACACTAATAATTGCCATTATTATTATTATTATACAAATTCTAACCAGAAATAATGTAATACGTGATGTCATTATACATACCATTTGTGCATGTTCTCGATTTTTATGTCGTACGGATCCGGTAGAAAAATTACGATTAATATTTGTTTAGGTAAAAATGTTGTTAGCACGTTAGGGTTATGTAATTTTAAAAAAATCTAAATTTTAGATGTTAAGCACCCTAAAACTCCTAAAAATCTCTAAACAATTTAACGAATGACATCACAATACAAAAATTTCAAAAAAACATAAAATTAATACTGATGAAACAGCATTCCATAGCTAGCTTTACAAAACGATTCAAAGTGCATCGAAATCCTAGCCCTACTAATAACGCTTTTTAGGTCAGAGGCAAAGCTGAAAAACCTAGTTCAGAGACCTGCTGTGGCCTGCACACCCCAATGATGATGAAAAATAATTGAATGCAAGGTTGCTAGATAATATCTCATAATTAGTTATAAATATTATAATAGTGTATACGATTCGATGCAGCGTAGAGATGATGAAATACAGTCTCACGCCTATAAGTTCGAATTTACATGACCGAGCAGCTTCGTTCATACCCGATGCCCCCAGCGAGGAATGCGTCGTTAACGACACATTTTGCGAACGTGCGCTAGCTAACACCACCCGCGCCCATATAAAGAACACTCAATAGTATAAGAGCCGGTGTATGGAGTGTACGACACTTTCGCCAAATTCCATCGATCTTTTTTCATTCATAAAAATATTTCAATAAAATAAATGAAAACCGTTACGTACATTAAAAATATTACTTGTAGGTAACGATAAACGTTTATAAACAGACACTGCAAACCGTATGGCATATAATAATTGACTGTACGTATGTACAGTTACAAAATATTATAATAAAATCATAAAAATGTTACTAATATTTGTCTGACTACCATGGAATGACTAAAATTAAAGTAAGCCATTCAATGGTACCCAAGTCATAAGTTATTAATTATTACTAATTTAATAATATTATTTTATTAATATACTCTGTGGTAATAACTAATATTAGTATATTTTAATATTATTAATAGGACTTATTATAATATTTTTATATCGTTATCATAATAATTGGAAACTAATATTTAAATTATGATTATTTAGTTTGAATGAAATACAAAACGTAAATCCATAAAGTGTTTGTCATGCAGATAATGGATTATAATAATGGTTACTATATTAATTAGTTCGTTTTAGAGATTTACAAATTCTTCTCAATAAATGGTTAATTTTTTTTTCTATGTTATTAATAGATATTTATCAACAATTTTTTCACACAATACAAATTTTTGCACTAGTCAACAAGGCTCACCTTAAGCAGTGGGTAGACCTCGCCCAACAAAAATTATCAAGGAGCGAACAAAATACAAATATATATAATATATATATTAGCCTTGAGTACAAACGCCTATTAACACCTATAGAGGTATAATATATTTTAGAATCTATTATATTATCAGCAAAATTAATCGTACACTTAGAACTTTTTTAAGGTGTTATATTAGTAATTTCAAAATAAAGATCAACCGAGAACAATGTTTTTAAAAAAATCTTGAAAGTAATTTTAATTCATTAGCGATGACAATAACGTCGAACGAATAGATATGCGTGTACACTGAACTTGTATAATACTATATACTATATACACGAAGACTTAAAAACTCTAGTCTCAGTGGTTTCTTACAATTAATTAATTTAATAAAATACTCGCAATAAACTTTAAGTCAATCAACCATTTGGTCATTCTTCCTATAGTCTATATATTATTTTTATCCAAATAATTCGGTATATATGTTCTGTGTAATGTGTATTATTTTAAATTTATGTAATTGAATAATAATTTTATCAACAACACTTGAAATTCAACTTATATAATAATATTATATAGAACTGTTTAATTGTTTTGTAACTTAAAACAAGAATATTAAATGAATTAGTTGCATAACCTAATTAATAATCTGAATTTCTAACCTGCATGTCCTTTAAGTTGTTTTCATTCTCAGAAGTCCATTCTCCTTTACTGCCATTTATTACATTTACTTTTGTAGGGATTGGAGGTTTGGCAGCATTATTTTTTGAAAATGTCACAGTTTCAGACGGTACAACTTTATTTGATAATTCACTAAAAATATAAATTACAATGTTTAAAATCTAAATATTATTAAAACTACTCTATATACATATATATAATATATGTATATATTACATATCATACCCGTTTTCTTCTTGAAGTTTCGATTCTGTACTACGCAGTTGCTCTATAAGCTCTAGTCTTTCTCTTTCTTGATCTTGTAAGGCATCATGATATCTTTGTTTTTGCCGTTGATATTCCTTAAGTAAATCACACTGACTATTCTGCATATCAAAACTAGTACTAGATTGGTTAATAGACAACGATTGGTATCGATCAGTAAGTGAGTCTCTTCTAGATGATCTGGTAGTATTTGATGTTGTTGTAGAATTTGATGACCTTCCGGGTTCTGGAGACGATAATTCCGAAACAAATTTTCTATTTTCTTTTACGGGTGTTACAACTTCAGTAATAGAAGGTAACTCTCCGTTAATGCTATTCACGAAAACTTCACTTTCAAATAATTTATCTACCGAACTAGTCATGGGTGTATTACTCTTCAGTCCTGTTAAATGAAAACTTGCAAAAGACGATTTTACAAGGTTTGACGACGTATTAGGTACCCCGATAGATGATATAAGAGATGACGAAGAAGTATGGTCAAGATTTGGCAGCAAGGAACGTGACATAATATCGGCAGCTGATCGTGGTCTAGTAAATGGCATTGCAGAATGTGGGAATTGTTTTGGTTTTATAGGAGTGACAAGCATGTGTTCCGTCCATGATGTTTCCAAAGACGGTCTCTCTAACTGTTCAAGTTCAACATTTAAAGTTTTTTGTTCGAAAGGCACAACAAAAGTTTCAGCTGGAATGCTTTGAAGCCATGACATCAAACTAAGATCTGTCTCTTTATAACCTTCCGATCCATTAAATACATGTGAAAAATTTAAAACATTAGGTCCAAAAGGCTGTGTACTTCCAACTGCTTTAGATTTACAAAAATTACAACACGATTCATAAAGCATGCCTTTAATAATTAACTGAATAAGCCGGTCATTTATTGCATCTGGCATAACAGGTTTTTTGTCACATGGTAAAAATTTCATTACAAGAGGATAAACTTGTTTAAAGCATTGTACCCTCGCTGTACTAGGGTTCCAATCTTTATACCCTAAATTATCCGATAATCTTGGTAATGTCAGCATTAAACAAAGATTAGAATATTCCTCTTTAGTAGGACATACTTTTTCTAATTCATTTAGAACTTTAACTACTTCTTCTACTGCAGTGTCTACGCTTCCTACCACAGTTGCTTCTGATTTCATACATATTAGCTCGGCATATTTATGTCTTAGGATACAGTACCTGAATTTATTAGTAGGAAATGTTGGTATCGCTTCCAATGGTTGAATGAATTCGAGCACATCATCCCATTGACCATCCAAAATGAGTTGACGAAGAAACAACGCATCATCTGAATAACTTCCATTTATGACACCAGTTTCACGTTCTACGCTTAATTGAGATATATGAAGTTCGCGATTATGCAAAAACTCCAAAGTTAATCTAATAATATCTTCTTCCCGTACAGAAATCTTTGCTGTTGGCATCACGTAACATATACGCAATCTAGAAATAATAAAGCATTATTTAACAAACCAAAATATTAATTTAATTTACTAAGAGTGAACAGGTTAAGGTAAGAAAACAAACAACACTGCCAGATATTTGTACAAAAATAGTAAAGGAGTGCCCTCGCAGACACTCCTTTCCTGTTAGTTTATTTTAGTACACCAACAAATATACCCTTGCTGTAATTGACATGCTTCGTAAAGATGCGTATAGTTCAAATGTATAATTATTAATAATAAATAATCTCAAACATCAACATAAAACAATTTACAAACCTAAGTAGGTAACTTTAAAACACTCAATTAGTTTATTAACAAAACACAATATTATTATATTATGCACTAATGGACTTATGATTTAAATGCGATATTAGGAATACAATCTTTAAACATAGAAAGATTACGAGACACTGAGTAAAATATTCTGAAAATAAACTAGGGAAAAAGAAAAAAAGAACAGTGCGCAAGTTTGTTTTAGAAGTATTGTTTATCTTGAAACTTTTAGACATTGAAAAATATTAAGTGAGGGTTGTATCATGAAGGTTTTATTATAGAGTAATTCAAAAAGACACATGACAATGTTTCTCTACACAATAAGGGATTGTTACTGCAGTATTTGTATCTGTATATATGTTATACATAATGTAGTAAGCTTTAAGTAACAAGGTAATATAAAATAGGATCCTCTTAAGCAAATTAAAATGTGTATAGACCCTTATAACACATTTATATATAAATTATTATCTAATTTCGGATAGAATAACATAGTTGATAATAGTAATGTAATATAAATAAAAACTTATATGTTTACAAACCTTGATACAAATTTTCTGTGCATATTTTTTACATTTCTATTTAAATAATTTACATTTAATACAACTGTTACCATTACCAGTACACTAAATAATTTTTGAACATTTAATGAAACAGAAAAATTATAATTTATTGTGGTCAGTGGTCGTCTAAAACTGAAACTAAACTAATTTCTTTAAAATAAGTATTCGTAAAACACCTTCCAGTTTCTATTCGATGCTTATTTATAAACAACTTATATACAGGATGTTCTAAATAGGTGCAATACAATACGTCATATATAATAATTTGAAAGTGAAATAATATGTATTAAAACGTGAAATGTAATCAAATACTAAATACCTACCTACAGTGTGAATTTTATAAATTATTTTTAGTTATTCTATGTTTTTAGTAATATATATTATATCTTAAATATCATATTTTAAATTTTCATAACCATTTACTCCTTTAAAATGACAAAAATTTAAATAAACAATTTTAGGTGGTTATTATTTATTACCTATACAGATGATATTTATTAAAACAAAAATAAAACTAGCTTGTTTATTACTATTTAGAGAGTTGGTATAAAACACTTTAAGACACCCTATATAACACTGGAAACTTCAATATTAATAATTACACATATGTTTGTCTAATTGTATATGCAACACCAGAAAAATATAGCCTGTAGGTAAACTACATTGCTTATAAGCTATAACCTACTTGTAACAGTTCACTAACAAATAATTTATGTAAAGAAGATCATTGACTTTTGGTTACTTCATTATAACTATAAGCAACAAATATTACTGATTTAGTGATGTAAAAACTTATTAAAACCAATAACATGAGTTTAATTTTCTTTTAATAATAATACAAAATAATAACAGCAAATTTAAAATAAATGAAATAAAATCTTAGTTTTACAAAACATTAATTGATTTTCTTTAACTTTTAAGTACACAAATTTTTCTTTAGTTTAATTAAACATATAATTAATATAGTGCAATGGGGACCAACATTTTTCTACCGAGTACCATGAAAAATAATATTCCTGAGGAGCCAAGAATTTAAAATGTTTCCTTTATGACTAAAGTAAATATAATATAAGCTATAAGAATTATTAGATATATTATCACTTTTTTACTATATATAATACTACCATAATAATCCTAATATAGGAATAGACATTTATTTATGTCTAATTTTTTTAAATTATAAAATATAAATTAAAAAATTATTTTATGTGAGTGTTGACCTTGTTTTTATTCACAGAAAACATTAATATTAGCTTCTAATTTGTCAGAATTCATCCGAAGAACGGCATGAAGATGTTCATTTATTATATGAGACCAAATTTTACTTTTATTAATTTTTATAGTTAAAAATACTTGCTCTCAAATAAATATTAAACCGAATATGATATAGGATATCACAGTTGTAAACTGCCAAACAATTAGAAAATCATCATTAGATAGATTTGAAAAAAATTCAACGATTATTTCTAATAGTAAAGAAGTTTCAATATTTTTTGAATCTACATTAAAAGAATGTTTAAACATTTTCTCTTTATTTAACCAATTATTTTTTTTTCCTTATATATTACTGTGATATATAACATATTTGTACAACTAAATTAATATTGGTGATTTCATTTCTATTATTAAACAATATAACGATTATATAACGCTGCAACACATTCAAATGTCCAATTAACAACATATGTAATTGATTATAAGCAATATTAATTTATATTTTATTTTACATAAGTGACATTTTTAAATAAATGTGTATTAATCTTTTTTCAATCTTTAATTTTTATTTAATATGTACACTCCGTGGTTGGACACATCCCTCACAGTGTCAAACAAATGAAATTTGTAAAAAAAAAATAGTACATATAATTTATTTACTCCTTGTTATTTAAAAGTAAATCAAAGTGAAACCTAATAAGTAATAATATATAAACACAATAATTGACTTATTAAAATCCAATATAACTTTTGTGAATGTTCTCTATAATAATAATTAAGGAAACCTTTTTTTTCTGTTGTTCAGAGTAACATAATTTCTTTAAGTGACACTAAATATAATGGATCTATGGATGTACCAATTACTTTATCCATTTAAAATGAAGGTCATGTAATAAATTTTTGTGAGCATCATATTTAATAGGTAGTCGCTTTATGACCTGTCTTGTACACACATACTTCTCCCCACCTTTAATTATATTTTTATAACCACCTACTTCCTACTCCAATATAGTATGTAGTTATTTTATATTCGAAATGTTAATAAATTAAATTTAAAAAAAATACAAAAAGCGGTCATTTTTATCAAATTTCTTATTTTAGCTTCCCCATTTTTTTAAAAAAATAAAATAATAAAGGTAATAAATAATTTTTTATTTAGAAACAAATCAACCATTTCATCAAGATTGGCAAAAGCATATTAGGGGGGGCTTGGGGGGCTCAGCCCTCCTCCCCAGTGTTTTAATCATATTTTAGTTTATCGGGGTTTAAGCATGATACAAATTCTAGACTTTCAGAAAAATTTTCCTAATTGTGTCTATGTGTTAAAGCCATTGTTTAAATTTAATTTAACAATTAATGTTATAGGTATCTGTTCATTGAGAAGTTATTTATTTTTTATTTAAATACATTACTTAGGATAATGTAAAGAAATGGGAAATAAATACAAAGTTATAAACAAGTCTAATTCAGCAATCATGATATCCTCAATAAACTGGTTAAATGAAAATATGTACCTATTAATGAAATATAATAATTACTAGGGGGATGAGGTGACCGAGTGGTCTGACTCTTCCGCTGCGACGCAGCCGGTCGCGGTTCAATCCTCGGCCACCGGGCGGCATTTTTCTCCGGACAAGTCGCGGTGACCGGAGAGCAAGTGCTGCCATCCCCCACCCCCGGGGCATGGCAGAAACCTACGGGTGCCCCNTTGAGTTGATTTTATTAGTCATCGATATACTCAGTTGAAATATATTTAAATGCATGCTGTTATTTCAAAATAGTAAAAATTACCTTATTTAAAAAAAAAAAAAAAAAAAAAATAATTACTACTATTACTATTATTTGAGTTTAAAACAATATACAAAATTACAGATTTATTTGAAACCATTCTTCCTCTTAAATCAATTACCTAATGGTAAATTATCAATTGTGGCTTGAATATTTTAGTCATATATAGGTACTCATAGAGTCGTACCTACCTATGTATGTTTTAAAAACAGAACACTATCCAATTAGTTAAGCTAATAATATTATGCATATCATTACTACTTTGTTATTTACATGATATATTTTAAGATTTTAATGACAGATGTCTACAAATTTTTTTAATTTATAGTTTATCAATAATAGGTAATATATTTATAATATAATTATAATTTCAATATAAACATTGTCTAATTAATATAATGGTCATTTATTACCAACATACTCATTCCTACTTAAATAAAAATGTAATGGAATTGCATTGCATCAAACAAATTTTATTATTATTTTTTTAATTATTTAATAATATTCCCTACCACCAGAAAGAAATAGATAGCATTAAATTTAATACATTTTTTTTAAAACAAGCTAAATTATTTCAGTTTCAAACAGTTATAAAAAGGTTAGAACAAATAGGTAAATATAGTACAGAAAATATTTAAACAACCTGATAGGTAGTAGCATTTATCTATTCTGTGGTAGTAGGTACATAATTATATATAATACATACATAGTTCCTAACTTAAATGTCATTTTAAAATGTTAACAAACTGTATTAGTATATAAGTATATATATTAGTATAATAATAAATAGGTATTATGTAGGAAGGTACATATTGGTTTTTACTCTATTTTTACATAATAGATAAGTAAATAGATACCTATACATATTCATGGAATATAAAAAGCTGGTGAAATAAATAAAACTAAAGAATAGACATAGGTAAGAACTCAATATTTATTCAATAAATCAAATATTAACTTTAGTTCTTGTATGTTGTATTGCTGTGTAAATACAATGTTAATTTTTTTGAGAGGAATGATTAAGGCTCTATAGTTATATCTAAAACATTAGGTATTTTCCAATTTTTAAAATATGTAGGCACCTAGATGGATAGCACAATAATTAATTACACACACATGCATATTCCTTATTCCCACGAAAATTATACTACAAATGAATAACATACCGTTAATAAAATAATTTTCCGTCGGGCCGTATTTATGTGTAGGTAATGCCAGACTAGAGGTCAACAAACTACCATAATTATTTATTGTCTGCAAGACAATTCGATCGACAAAACTCGGGCCTTGTAAACACAACGAACGTTCCCAGATCGCGGCTGTATGAATTCGCGATCTCGCAACACCGATAATTCAAAATCCGGAATCGTTATTGAGAAACATTATTGAAACGCCTACTAATTTGAATGCTAAAAAAATAATAAACTGAACATCAACAAATAACAATTTTTATGAGTTATCACGGTCGAAATGTGATAACAACTATCGAGAAGAATCAGCCGCTGCAGCAATAAAAAATAAGAATATTGACTCGGCCCATGAAGATAATAATATTATTGACTTGGACTGAGTTGGACACGGGTAGAAATGTGGAATAAAAATTTATACAACTTCAGCAGCTGCTTATAGACTATAGTTGCTTAGTTTAGTCGTTATCTACGTGATAAAAGCAACATGGTATGCTTATAAGGATCCTGTTTCGATTCGTATCCGCGCACTTCGCACATTTCAATAATATTTTGTTAGTTTATCTCATGATTCATCTTTATTTCAACTTTTTATACTATGCCATTATGCCATTTTTGCTATTTAGCTCTACGTCACGCGCCCACCGAAAGTTCTGACAGTCAAAAAGTTACGATCATACCATTTCATTCTATGATGATACCGTGTTGTTTATAATATCATGGTTAATTGTAACTTAGTATCTATGTGATTGTGTCATGATATTGATTCTATTTCAACGATTTATTTAAGTTTGAAACTTCAAATAATTCAAGCCCCAAAGTTCAAGGTTGTACTTGTTTTAGGACGTACCACTTACTACTTAGGTACTTGGCAGTGACTAGGAGGTACAGTTTAATTTATAATTGTATATCTATGGGTACAATTTATTTTGTATTTTATATTGAATAATAGTTTTAATTTATAAAAATTGAACTTCTCAAAAAATTATTGGTCATTTTATAAAATTGTCCAGTTTCAGAAAATAATATTAGGTCACTATTGAAAACTTTTTAATATTGATTCAAACCCGATAGAGGTTACATTTAGTAATACTTTGGATAATACTGAATAATAATTTTTTTACATCTGTTTTTTATTACAGGTTTTTAAACTATGGCTGGTGTCGATAGCCATTCTTATGGTTATGTAAGAGTTGGACAAAAAGTGAGTATTGGGGCATTTGATGGGTTTGCTCGATATGTTGGTCCGATTCCTGGAACAGATTCCATATGGGTGGGAGTTGAATGGGACGATTCAAACAGAGGTAAACATGATGGAATTCATAATGGTATCAGATATTTTAAAACAATGTAAGCATATACATAATACAGTACCTAGTTTTAAAATAAGTTGACTAAAATGTTGTCTCTATTTTAGTCATCCTAATGGGGCATCATTTGTACATTTAGAAAAAGTAATACCTCACAATGTTAGTTTTCTTAATGCTTTTCAAAGTAAATATGGCCAAAATTGTGGCAATAATATTCAACAGGAAATAAATGCATTGATGAAACAGTCTAAAATGGCATCTTTTGAGCTTGTTGGAATGCAAAAAATTCAGAAAACACAAGCGTAAGTTTTACATATTTTTACTTACTTTTAGTTATTAATTATATTACTATTGTAAAATATTTTGCTGCTTAGATGTTTCGATAAGTTAACTCATGTATGTCTAAGTCATCATGGTATAACAGATGCGGGCAATCCCAATGAAATACAAGATTGCTGTCCAAATATTGTGAATTTAGAACTTTGTAATAATTGTTTTACTGATTGGGAAACAGTATCAGAAATAGCTCAACAGTTAAAACATTTAACAACTTTGAATTTAAGGTAAACTAACCAATTATTTCATAGTTATGTGCTAGTAACATAACTTTGATAGTAAAAAAACTAATTATTAATTAATAATGTTAACTTCAAACGATCCAGCCTAATATAATGTATTTTTAGCTTTAATAATATAGATTTACCACAAGAACCAAATCAACTATTAAAGGAATCGTTTAAATGCTTGAAGAAAATTGTTTTAGGTAAACTCAATTATAGCTGGCATGAAATCATGACTTTATGTGAAGCATTTCCAGTACTTGAAGTACTAGAGGTACCCAGAGTGAACTAAAAATAAAATTGCATTGTTTGTAAAATTTTAATTTCAAATAATTTTAGGTCCCAGATAACAATATAGATCGACTCGAATCACATTCAGAAGTCATGGAGAATCTTTTGTACTTAAACCTGGAAAATAATAATTTATCATGGCCAGAAATCAATAAATTGCGATCTTTACCAAAGTAATAACTAATATCATTAAAGCATACAATTGAATTTTTTAGTAATTTTTTTAAAACTTTAAATTATCAGATTACAAACTTTAAATGTTAATCGAAATGGAATAAAAGACATTCAAATTGTACCTTCATCGTTTCCTTCCCTTAAATTTCTGATGATCAGTGATAACAACTTATTACATGTAAGATAGCTCTTGTTGATGTTCATTATCATCAACATTTCTTAAATTTAAATAATTTTTTAAATTCCAGTTAGAATCATTGTGTGAGCTTAATAAATTGCCGGCATTAAGTTCTTTAAGAATTCAAAATAATCCTCTACTTAAGGGAATGAGTGTTAGCAATTACACTTTACAAATTATAGCAAGAATTGCCAATTTAAAGGTAAACTAATAAATAAATCTTTATTAAACTAAATTATAAATTTAAATGAATGATTTATTTAGACGTTAAATGGAACTATGATTACTCTTAAAGAACGACAAAATAATGAAAGAGATTTTTTAAAGGATTTGGACATGATATGGCATAGACAGTTAAAAAGTCCAGAAGAAAGAGCTGAATTTTTGACTAAACACCCCCGATATATGGAACTCATTGCTAGTAAATAATTCATTATTATTTTATTTCATACCAGATGTTTTTAATATTATTTAAATTTAGAATATGGTTCTGATTACTCGGAAGACCTGAATACGTCAAACAAAATAAAAACAATAAAAATCAGAATCGTGAACTTTTGCAATGAAACAAATACAGAAAAGGATGTAATAATAAAAACACTTCCAATTACTATGACACTTAATCGTTTAAAAGATCTCGGAAAACGTTTATTTGGTCTAGGCAACAAACAACTTGAATTTTCATATGTAACAAAAGAGGTAAATTTAAACTGTAGTAAAATAAAAACAATGTATATACTATTATTTGTATACATTTTATTATCTTTACCCATCCTCTCCCAACTATATGGGGTCTGCTACCTTTGTTCTGCATTGATTTCCAAACCCTTAAAGAATAATGGTAGCCTCATAGCAGTCCGATCACCACTCTATTGTTATTAGTCAACATATTTTTAATTTAAATGTTCATAACTAAAGTTAGGATGTTGATGACTTTTGCATTTTTTTTGCCTTTGATTTTATATGATGCTATCCTAGCAAAAAATTTGTTTCATTCTCCTTTAATGCAGAATATTCTAATTTTATTTTGCATTTTTTTGTTTTTTAATGTGATTTTTTATAGTTATTGTACAATGTGGGGCATATTTCTCAAATTTTAGATTAGTGCAAATGTTAAACCCAAGTTCAATTTACTTTTAATAATTTTATATAGTGCTTAAAATTAAATGTATACTGTTGTTTATTAATATTATAATTTATAATTCATTTTTTAAATTACTATTGCACACATTATCACACCTATATCTCTAATAAAAACTAATATTTATAAATACATTTTTTTCCCTACTTAATTAGTGTTTTAGATCATTTTTTGAAGTTTTTAGGGCATTTTTGTGTGTTTTTTAGGTCATCATCACCCATTCATAACTTTTTGCCTAAAATACCCTAGTTTGATAAATTAGCCTTTAATGTAAGTCTCGTGTTGATTTCTGGGTGTAATTTTTTCTGTCTTTATTTGGTATCTGTGATATTCATCTTTTTGATCTTTTAACACTTTAAGTTCATTAAAATTGATGTTTGGCGCTTGTCACTCATAAGTATCTCAATTTCGCCTTCAACTTAAGTTTTCATTGGCCGTATCCCTCTACTTTTTCAAGTGTTAGATAAAACATTCAATTTTTAAAATCAATTATACTGTTATTATACTGTTATTGGAAGTACTTATGTGATTTTTATAGGACTCTAATATATCTTTACTACCTAATCATTTGGACCTTTCTGTGGCCATTTCAGAAATCTGAAGTTGTAATTTTTCATTGTTCGATTACAATTCCACTACTATTTATTTCAAAGTCGCATTGTAATTTTGGTTAGTTTGAGTATGACCCACTTAAAATAAATTTGTGTTTAAAAACTTATCATCTGTCCGAAAGACAATGGTTTGCAATGCAAAGACTTATCAAAACAAAATAACTGAAACAACACTAATTAGCAAAACTTACATGTTGCTTGTTTGGTGTCCAAAACACAACTATTTACTGTCTCAAAAGACAATAATCAATCGTCTGACCGATTTATGTCAGCGCTACGCATTCCCCCCCCCCCCCCAACTTCCTTATGTTAGCTTGATCATGAGGTTCTCAATGTGCCAATTGCATCATTCATGATGAGCAAAAAGTGATTGTTCTCTTTTGAGACAAAGTAAACATTTAATTTTGCTATACATTAATTGCCTGGTGTCTATCTCGGGCATTTGATTTCTATGATATTGCAAATAGTACAATTCAATTATAGTTGTATTCTACTTTTTTTTTAGAAACCAGATATTGAATATACCATGGAAAACATGAATCAAACATTAGATTATTATTCTGTTGAAGATGGAAACACAGTATTAATTAAATGGTAAAAATAATACTGCAACCTTAATTTATAATTGTTAATCTATTAATTGTGTTTTTATATTTTTATTTTGTACTTTTAACAATAAATTGTATGTTGTTTTTTTGTTTATCAAATTGAAAAAAATATGTATATAAAATTAATGAAAAAAATATATATACAATTGTATTATTTCATATTTGTGATATTTAAAGGTGTTACAGTATTATGTAGTCTAGATATGGCAGCTTGTACCATTCGTTGCAAAACCTCATCTTCGCATGTTACTTCCTATAAAAAAAAACACATATTAAGAAATATTAATTCTAAATAACATTAATCATAAACATACCAAATTTTTTAAATTAATATTAGCTTTCTTCCCATCAACAGCTACAAACAATTTTTCACCTTTAAATATTTTTGGTACTGATTCCTCACCAAACATTTCTTGTAAGATTTCAATCAAACATTCCTACAAAATAGATTATTTAATACATATTATTTTGTATAAGAGCATTCAATAAACAAATTTTAACCTTGAAATGCATATGGTCATACTCTGTAAATGGAACCGATGCCACATTTTTCATATCCCCATGACTCATTGTCTGAATCTTCATCAAAACTTGTACAACAATATCTGCATACATATCATTTTCAGGTGTAGTAGTCCATTCCAAAGTGGCAAAGTTTTTATCCACAGAGACATCCACTGAGTTTAATACTCTTAACTTTTTGTTGGGAATAATTATTTCAGGTACACTGCCAGTCAAATGTGACAACATATTTTGTAATACCGTAAATGATGATGTAAATCTGTGAAGTTGTTTTTGTTGAATTTCACTTAATAACATGTCGGAATATCCTTTTAAAAGAAAATATAAAAATAATTATTCATCCTATATGAGTGAAAATAAAAATAGTGATAAACAGGAATGACCTTATAGTGCAGCCTATTCAATTGATTTTAAATGAACATTACATACATTGTTTAAAAATAAAAATTTTTAAGTGTGTGGATACATTTTTAACTTTCAACCTTTAGAAGAGTTTTTCAGATATACATTTTGCCTTTAATATACAGTATTCCTTACATTACTTATTTAATACTTGTATATTTAAGAAATAATAATAATTTAGAATGATACCCTCCACAAAAAGGTTTCACAAACAATTAATTCATCATTTTAATCCAAAAATATTTACCAGCCTTGCTCTAAAAATAATTTCTTCAAAATTTAAAAAAAATTGGGATACATGTGTATTAAATATAACAAAATTAATTTTATGGATCTGTTATAATGTATTTAATGTCAATGTTCTTACACATTTCATTGTTACTTATAAGTATTGACATCGAAAAGATTGTAATTTATACTCAAAAATCTCGGGAATCTGACAGATATCAGACCAGAGCACTGCAGAATTAACAAAAACCTCAGATTATTGTAGTTTCATACAAAAACGCATTTTTACACATTTTTACTTATATTACAAAACCTAAAAACCTAACATTTTAATTTAACAACACAATGTTCACTGTTATGTGTTGTTCAATGTTAACTGAAGAAAAATAAAATATCTTATCAGTTAATTTAGACTTAAATCAGTTAGTCTTAATAACTGTATGGTTATTATAGCAAAAAAATAGTTGGATTACTGGATGTACCAGATTATTGCAAGGCCGAATTACAATCTACTGTACTTAAAAAAAAAGCATTAATTGATACTTGTTTGTTGTCCTAACACTACACTATAAAATATATTGCTCTACTACCAGGCAGTTGTCCATCATACCCAAGACATTTATTACATACTACACACATATTGTACTAATAGATGCAGCTCCAGACATGGTGCCAACAAGTGGTGTGGTCTCATGATAGAGATTACAGTTACATATACAGATATAATAACAATTATTGTAAAATAGAAAAGTAATTGTATGTTCTATGTCAAAGATTTAAAAACTTGTAATGGTACGATCCATTTTGAAAAATGATTTAAATTTTGGAGGCCCACAATAATGTCAATGACCTTTTTTTTGCTGTTGGGAATAAAAAATTAAAATTAAAAAAGGAATCATTTTGAATTGAAGAACAGCATATTTTATTTTTTTAATTTTTATCAAGGAATTTATCATATCAATAAATTGTTATTTTTTCAATTACTAATCTGATTGTGTGGTAATGACACTGTCGTAGTATATTCGTAATTGTCAGTAACGCATATAACAATTTATGATAAAATTAAATTTAAACATCAACAAAAAGTAATAGAAACACATGTATCAAAAATGCATTATTTTAAAAATATGATGCGGCTCACTAAAAATATAATCGGGACACACTGTTTGGGAATCACTATTCTATGTCAAATTTACTTATTACACATGAGAACCAAATACATGTATTAAAAATTATAATCATAACTTTCAAATTTAATTAAATAATAAAATATTAATAAATTGTTAATTTCAATTAATAGTAGCATAGTCAATGATTATAAGATATTTAACTATCATAAATAATTGATTCATTATCACTATAGAAAAATTTAAAAGAATGATTTCATAAAAATCTTCTGAATATCATTTCTTGAACACTACTCCACACATTTCATTCAGCTTATTCACATTATTAATTTTAAACAATATACTAAAATATTTGTAAAATAGTTGAGGCATAGATGGTACTTGAAACTAAATAAAAAATAGTGTTCAATAACTGAACTTTTTTTTAGTATCATGATACCATAACAAAATTTAATTCAATATTTAAACTATGAAGTATTTAACTTTTTCTATATACTAGTTTGCATAGATGGGTATCAAAGTACAGAAAAATTAGTATTTTTTAGATTTTTGGATCAAGACTGCTCCCAGAAAATTACCTGGTGGCAGATCAGTACTTTTTATACAGTTAGGTTGCAGGTCAAGTACCTAATCAACCATTTATTAGTGAAAAACATAATTTTGATAATTTTCTTACTTGGTATATCTTCAGAGGCAAAAATATGATAGCTAAAATTTTTTTTTAATAAAACGCCACTTAAAACATTATCTTCTGCTGGTTTCTCGACAGCTATTTCTCCCATTACCTAAACATAAAATAATTAATACAATAAATTTAATCGAATGATTATTATATCACACTAAAGTGAACAATGACATACTTTGGCAGTTTTTTCCCCGGTAAAATAAAAGTCCACTCCTACTGTATTCCGAGGGTTATACACTTTAATATCTTCAGAGTTTTCTTCATATTCTCTAACCAAAGCAGATTTCAATCTTTGCATTTCATTTTGTTCCCCGTGTACCAACACCTATGTATAAAAAAAATATGTCACATAATTTATTTCTTCAAATACCTTTGTTTTATTAATTATTTAAGATACTAACAATATGGGGTGGCTTTAAAATGTTTATAAATTCTCGTGTTTGCTGATAATCTGTATGTGCTGAAAATGATATATAATCAACAGACATTTTTAATGGTAACTTTTGACCAGTCATAGTCGTGATATCTTCGGGCTCAGATAAAATAGCCTTAGCTAGTGTTCCTTGCACCACGTAACCTAAAATATTTGTAATAAATAAAATATTTGCTATAATAAGATAAATTATTGATTTTTATTTTACCAGCAATTATAACTCCATTTTTACTATCTGTACACCACATTTCAAAAAGCTCTCTAGAAAGACCACTTTCCATGACACCTGGCGATGCCATTATAACACAAGGACCAATATCTTCAAAATGATCAATGCTCTAAAATTTAAATATTTATAATAAATAATTTGTTTTAAAATAACACAACTTTGGTTAGATTTAGTTAAAAATAATAAAAGGAGAAATGTTTTAAACATCGATATTCCTAACTTGTAAGTACTTTAGAATTAAAATATCATTACGAAGGAAAATATTATGAACTTTAATTTTTTTTTAAACTATTGTTATTTCATTATTTACATTAAAATTATTTAAACATTGATTATATAAAATATTATGAATATTAAATAACAGCATACTTTAAGGTTAGTAATATGTTTAAAAACAAATGGATTGTTAACAGCGATTTGACGTTTTATACGATCATTCATAGCATTAATATATGTCTGGTACACAGCCATACATTTTTTAGCCAACGATGATGCGTAATATATAGGAATATCATGAAGTTCTGGGTGAAGACCCCAATATTCATCTAAAAAATTTAAATAAAAACATGAATAATAAATAATAACATTGAAGTTTGTAATAATAAAATAATTTATCCTTTTTACCTAAGATTAACAATAATTCTTGAGCTCGTCCTAAGGCAAAAACTGGAATCAAACATCTTCCACCTCGATTGACAATATCATTGACAAGCATAGTAAACCGTCGTTCACGTTCTTCACGTTTTTCATGTATATGAGTTCCATAAGTAGATTCCTAAATAACACAAATAATTTTAAATTTATATTTTAAAACAACAATTACAACAACATTTACAGTTATAAGAATTTCCGGCCTTGAAGGTGGTATTTCAGCAGCCATTAGATGCCTGTCTTCTTGTCTTGAAAAGTCTCCAGTATACAAAACTTTAACACCAGCAATTTCAATCATAAACATTGCAGCTCCCAACACATGGCCTGCATTATAAGCACAAAAACGAATACCACCAACATCTTTTTCTTCGTGGAAATTTATCGTTTCTATACGATCCATGCTCTTTTCTAAATCAGCTTCAGTGTACAGCATCTGTTCAGTTCCTATGTTACTGAATTAAAAGATTGTTTAATAAGTCAGAACATAAAATTTGTTTTTTTTAAAAGTATGTACAGTAAAAGATAATTTAATTTAATAGCATGTACAAAAAAAACAACATACACTTCAAAAGTTCTTACCAATTAATACTAGCCCATTTGATCATAATTAACATACAATAAATGAAAAGAAATAGTTATGAGTAAAGCTACCACCTCTCTGGGTTTCATCCACATACTCATATAAAATTTACATATAAAACTATTGGCTACAGGTCATTGTAAAATTATTGCTATACCTACATAAACTATTTCTTGCATTTGATTACCTACCATTTTACCCCTCATAAACTCATATCTACTAGTTGTATTAGCGTACAGGCATAGTGTCTAGTCTACGGCCAACAGAGATGTTATGATAACTTATTTTTGTTTTTGCTATTAGCCTGGTCCTAATTATGAATTAAAAGCCTTTAATTATATCCAAAATACAAAAAGGTATTACCTGACTTTAATGTAATCTGACAGCAACCATCTATATATAGCTTTAGTTGCATGAGTCATATAACATTTTCCTTTGAATTTAGTCTTGAGTAAAAACCATGGTAATGCTCCACTATGGTCCAAATGAAAACTATAGAAAATAATAAATATGAGTAATATAATTAATTAGGCATAGTTTTAATTTTTACTTACTGAGTGATTAAAAGTAAATCAATTTCATTTGCTTCAATGAGATCCACAAATGGTAATGCATCTAAACCTTGAAGGCCTGGATGAATTCCACAATCAAGCTAAGAAATAATGCAATTAGGTTAGAAAAAAATATTAATTCATAAGTAGAATTCATGACTTGCCATAATTTTTTTGCCTTTGAACTCCATAACAATACATGATCTACCAACCTCTTGTCCGGCACCTCTAAAATATAAAATTAAACAAACAATTAATATTTTATAATATAATACACAATGTTTGTAGTATAATGTATCTTATAAGTTCTGTAACAAATGAAATACCAATATTACATATCATTACTAATTTTAACTAATATTAAATTCTAGTAGCTTATTGCCATATTTACATATTAAAAAAATTATTGATACATTTAAAAAACTGAAGACAAATTCTATTTCAAAATGTATATTTTCGACATTATATTTTTACAACTATAGTAAATATCATATAAGAAATTAAATAAAATAATTGGTAAATAATTATATAAAATTAAATCATAAGTTGATAGATTAAAATTAAAATGAATCAGAATAACTTAAAATATGAAAAACATGTGAATATTATAAAATAATTGAACAAATTGTAAGTAACATCATATTTTTAATTAAAATTTCTTCAATGCCATTTTAAGAAAACTTTTTTTAAAACAAAAATAATATTTATAATGAAATAATTTTAATAATTATGTTATATTACATTTTCATATGAGCTAGTTTAAAATATTAATTGTTACAGAATACAAATATAATCATTTAATAAATTTTATGAAAAAAAATTTACTTAAACTATTTATATTTCCAAACAGTCCATTTTTAAGTCTGCATCATCTTCTTCATCACTACAAGGATTAGAATTTGGAACCTCTGTCTTAATATGATTTTCTGAAAAAATTATTTTAGCTAGTTCTTCGCGATCTAGATTAGTAGACCAGTCTTCATATTCATCTTTAGCCACTTCAATTTCTGAGGAACACTCATTATACTCATCCTCATTTTGATTATCTTCATCAATTACTTCTTCTAATCTTCTCATAATTTGTTGTCTAGTATAATCTAAATTGTCTTCCTCCATGTAATTACTATACAGCTTAATATGTTCATTTCCACAAGAAGGTAAATTACCAGCTAAATACTTCTGCCATGCTCTTTCTAAATATCCATACATAACATTTCTTATGTCATCTATGAACTCCTTTTTAAGCCAACCAGCATGTTTACTACAAGTAGTTGATAGAGACGCATTTTTAAGCATCTCTTTCACTTCCGGCAAATGTATATCACACAGTTGATAATTAGCAACAATTGATAAAGGAAATGAATTTGGAGAAAAATAAAACTGTTTTTCAGCAGTATTTGGATTATAATCTTCGATGTTGAATTTAACTATTTTAGGATTAGACGAATAGTGGTCATCAAACCATTGGTTGCGAATCTCAATTACTTGATATATGTAATTTGATGGATCGTTGTGGTAGTTGTACCCATGCCTGTAAATAAAGGAACAATTTTAATGTACCCATTTCTATTCTTAAGAAATAAAAAAAAATCATCAAATAAATTACCTGACCCACATCCGACGAAATGGTCCAGTAGTGGTAAAATAGCCAGTGGTTGGTAATAAATATTTCATCTTTTCCTTATTTATAACTTTGGCAAAATGAAACAAAGCCGGTTTTACCCAGATTGGTCTTTTTTCAAATAGTCTATCCATCAATCTTTTTTCATCAGGAGAAAACATTTTTACAGTTAAACAATACTTTAATAAATCCAAAGGCATGGGTGGTAGGTCTGTATCCTCAAAACGATTATTCTTAGTGAAATTGCGTACATATGGTCTTAATCTATGTTTTTTAGACAACATATCCAACTTTTTTAGATTTACAAGATCATAAAAATCTGACTGAGGTTCATTGAATTTACTTAGCTTGCTAGGTAGTAATGATAAAGGCACATCTTTTTCTAAAGCCCAATTTATGTCCAATAATTTATTTGTACGCCATAGTTCAGAACAATTAGGACTAGGTGGAAAATATGCAAAATCCATAATACTTGTAAATGTAAAAGTTTTTTGAACAAATCCAATTACATGAGCAGGTAAAACTTCTATAGGAATTTTTTCACCAGTTTTTTTATTTATTTTATATTTTGTCTTTACAGAGACCAACAATGATCGTTCATAATGTTTGTTCCCTGAAAGTGGTGGTCCGAATTCTGATTTTACTAAGTTGACAGATAGCGTAGCTTCTGAATTCTCAAATGCATGAGTAATCTCATCAATACCTCCAAGATTGTCGATTGCTCGTTCAGCATTATTAACAATACCAGGATATATTATACAATTTAAAAGTTTTAATTTGGAAGGACTAATAATTTCAGCTTCTTTGGATGACTCCATTATTCAAATATAATGAAACATTAACTAAATAATAATGGTTTTAATGGCTTACAGAGGTTTAATTGTAAGTTTATCATTTTCTTCTTCAGATATCTGAATTTCATCACCCTTCTTATCTTGAACGGACATTTTTCCTAAACAAAATCAAATGAGAGACAAAACAAACCAATAATAACAAAAGTTATTTAGTTATAATATCGTAAATTTTAAAGTAAGGAAATTATGTTTTAAGTTTTAACTCATGCCTTGTACGTTTATTTAAAATTTAAGTTTTGAGTCTAGAGATAAATGATAATCATAATTCTAAAACCTTTGAGGTTAAATTTAAATATTTAATCAAACCGGTACAGTCGTTGTGGTAACTACCACTATCTACCAAAACCACTCTATTTGTTACCAAAATTACTTCCTATCTTTTAGACATTTTTGATTTGTAATTTTGATGGCATTAAGGGCGGGCATTGTCCGCCAGGAGCGCTAAGAAGGCCGATTTTTCAAAGAGTACTGTGTTCTGAGTAGTGAGTAGCGACTAGCGACTAGCGGTATACCGTATACGCATTTAATATATAAACTTCAGGAACGAATATAGTTACATTAAAAATTTTTTTTGGAAATGTAAGTGTTTTTATGCTCAACACGTTGGTGAAATCAGACGTTACCTACCTTACGTAATAAACCATGTAAAACATAATTGTAAGGGTGTGGATGTTCCTAAAAATTGAGCATCTTGAAGTTTTTTGACCATAACTTTTATAAAATATAATACTTTAATACTTATACAATTTAATATGTAATTACTCATATTTGATATTACAGTATGAAAGAAAAACTCTATCTTAAATAGAACACCAAATGTTTCTAATTTAATTTGTAATTTATGGTCAAAAAACTTCAAAATACTCTACACTTTTAGAAACATCGGGCTTTTTACTTTTTAGCATAAAATATTAAGAATTTAAATTTTTTTGAATTTTTTTGAAAAATATTAGTATTTTTACGCTCAACGTGTTGGTGGAATCTGAATTCTCTCATCTTACTTATTTTTTTTATTGTAAATAAGCCACTGTAGCGATCCCGCTTACAGATGCTGAATGTAGATGATGAGAGATAAGGGCGTGTAAATACTTCAAGCCAATGTATTAGTTATTAACATATTTAACATGAATTTTATTGCGAATGTAAAATGTTTGAATATATTTTCTGCAGTGTTTGGAAAGAACGTCGTTTATGAACGCACGTTCATATTTAGCGAAAGGCACTAGTTTTTATTAATTTGAAAATAAACTCAGTTTATATTTTAATGAATTTGAACGATTCTTAAGACACTCAATTTATTTGCCATTTCATATACATGTTTAAAATATATTGATTTATTATATTGTACAATAATATTTTTTTAGTATGATGATTCGTATTACAAAAAATAAAAAATAAATTAATTAACTACCAAGTGAGCGCATTCATTTTTTCAACGAGCTTGAACGTGAAACTCGTTCATATGAAAAACACGAACGTGAACTTGAAAGGGTTCTTTTTTTAGTGAACGTTCCCAACACTGATTTTCTGGCGTACCGAGTTGAATAATTTCAGAGAGTCTGCTGGAGTGAAGGTTCTTTGTAGTTTATACTGACGTCCCATGAGTATACATATAAGTATATAACACATGACTACATGATGAGATAGGCATCGGAACGAGGTTTATAAATAAAAAAATTAATTAATATAGGTAAATTATGTTTCTACCAACGAGTTGAGCATGATAATAACAACATCTCCAAAAAAAATTCATAAAAATAACTTTTACAATAACTATTAACTACAAACTACATTTGTTTTTAAAGTTATGCGTATACCCCTACAAATATTTTTTGAAAGATCGGCCTTTTCAGCGCCCCTGGCGGACAATACCCGCCCTAAATGCCTTCAAATTATGACTCAAAAATCTAAAAGATAGGCAAAGACCACACCGTATTATCTATTCGGTGATTTATATATAATCCGTGATTATAACTGATAAGTGATAACATAAATATTTGATATTAAATTGATAACTTAATATTTATTAGTTTGTATGGGCAAGGGGTAAAAGCCTAAAGATTAAAAATATGTAAATTGTTATTTATTTATTTGCATGTAAATATTTATTTAAAAACATTGTAGAAATGTGATCGTCTAATATAATTGTGTATTCTAGTTTAACTAGTTCTATGTATTTGTATTACTTGGGCCGTGTAATTCTGGGAAGTTAGGTAGTCTAATGGATTTATTCTTGCCATAACGGTTTAAAATTACCTGCAAAAAATGCACAATCTGTCCCAAAGACTGACTTTTGGCTTGTTGTTACTACTGTTGGCTGATATAATATGGATAATGTCATCAAAATTCATTAACGTATGTTGTATAAATATAATATAAAATCTACAAGTAACATTTTTCTTCTCATCAAAACTAACAAATTCAATTAGTGTTGTCACATCTTCAATTTAGTTAGGAATTAATTTTAAATGATTATAAGATATAGATAAACATACCAACAAATCTGCACAATTTTTAATTATTGAAATTAAGGTAAATGTATTTTGTTTTTCAGTATATTCCTTACAAAACTGACGATTACAAAAAGCCATTCTTTTTTGCCTATACCAAAGCATCAATATTTACTCTCTACTTTTTGCTATATATTATATTTAAAGAACTACGGAAGCCTTGTGGAAACCAAACTAATTATATGGTAATTTTAGGTAAATGTTCTAAATTCTTAATATTATTAGTGAAAGTATTATATTATGTTTTAGTTTGTTAATTTTGATACAATCGAAAATGATGATGATGATGAAGAAGATGATAATGTTTTTACTGATGAAACTGAAAGATTAGTAAGAATTTAAGTTACTATTATTTGATGTAGAAATATCTTAAGTAAAGAGTAGTATAAAAGTAGTAAAAAGCATATCTTATCTAAAGTTCACAAGATTAATCTATATTTGAATTATATTTATTAATAATTGATTAATCATACAATTTATTTTAGCTTTTAAAACTACCTCATTTAAATTAATTAAATTATTAAAACAACTGACAGACTAATTTTTGTCGAGTTTTCAAGTATTTTTTTAATTTATCTTGTATTGTTCAAAAGTTAAAATTTCCTGAAGATATTTCTGGTTGTTTTATACAAAATACAACATTCACAATTACATAAATAATAAGTATGTAACATATGTGCAATTTACAACAAGATGTACTATAACTATATAGCTTGGATATTGTACTATCAAATAAAACTTTTTTTGTTTTTAATATTTGCTTCTTTATGGCTCACCTAAAATTTCAACAAAATGTCTGCTAATAAATCATTAAGTACAATGGCATAATAATAAATGCATAATTGGAACTAGTGTAAAAATTATCATTTTAACTAAGATATTATTTTATTACATTATATATGCCAAACAATACCATGGTATCTGCTGGATTCTAGATGCTTATTTGGATTTTATAAATTTGACTTTTCTATGATTGTATCAGCATGTTTAATATGTTTTTATTACATTTTGAAATCCACCTATACTAGATTTCTAATTGATAATTTAAATTATTTTGTACATCAGTAAAAATAAAAGAATCCGTGAATCTAAACCTGTTTTAACATTCTATTTGTGAACTGAATAATTCTGTTTTCGCTTTGCTTTTTTAATTTATATTTTTCTTTTTAATCAATCTATTTATTAAGACTCATTATGCATAATCATTAACTGAGATAGTTATGCTTTTATAATTACTATTTGACTTATATTAATAATATTGTTTCTACTTATGTTATTAGAAATTCTAAAATTTATTACGAATATTTGACCTTACTCATGTATTATGAATTAAAATCACAAATTGTTTCTCACAATATAATATAAACAATAAAACATTTTTATGCAGAGCACAGCAAGTTATGTTCCGATCAAAAATCCTAGTTTGACTTCTGGTACAGAAAGTGATGATTCGGGATCTGCTAAACCAAATAATAAAGTTGTTCGATTTAACAAAGTTGCTGAGGTAATTCAATTGTTGTTAAACAATTAAATAAACGTGTTTTGATAAAAAAACTTCTTAAACCTAATGTGTTGGAAATATTGACTGTAATATTAAGTTTAATAGCTACAAAAAAGAATAGTTGACTAATTTTTAAACATTATTTATATCAAATGTGTACAAGTAACAAGTGTAACAGTTTATAACTATCAATAATATTTGTATACTACACTTAAATTAATATATTTAACTGCCTAGAATAATTTGTTTTGAAAATATACATACATGTCATGTGTAACTGACAATACAATTTTAAGTTATATAGAAGCTTTTTGTCAAAATATTAACTATTATTATTGTTGATAATTTAATATCCACAATTAATTTCTAGTCCACAATAGGTATATTTAAGAAATTAATTTTATGTGTTCTATTATTTATTATTATTTAATTATAAATATATTATTAAATCTATTTTTATTAACAAAAAAAATAAAATGATTAATCAAGCTAAGTGTCGTCAATGGGTGGCTTCTTATTCAACATTTCACATCTATGTTATTATTCTTACCACATAAACTTATTGTGCATAAAGGGTAGAGACTATAGATTGTTTATTTCTACTAAAGATAAATAAATAAAAATGTATTTATTAATTATTACAGGTTAGACATTTGTCTGAAACAGAAGCTACAGAAGCATTAATGGCCCGTTTATCGTATGCTGCTACATTAAGAGCACGAGAAATTTGTCGTTTGTCAAGGCAATTACTAAATCTACACCAAACTGCAAAACTAGCTTTCACAGTAGCTCCGCTTGTAAGAATTTCTATACATTTTTTATTTTTTTTACTTCAGTACTACTGTATTAGTGTTAATTAATTTAACCTCTCTACATTTCTTAAGTGCTTAGATTAAAACATAATACAACTAGAATATTGTTATCAAGCATACGTCTTAATAATAATTCAAGATCAAATTTGTGTTATTTTTGTATTAATATAGGATCATACACAGTGTTTCAAAAGTCTTCATCCGATTATGAACTGATATATTTCGGCAACGGTTAATCGCAGGTTAATGACCAATGTATTAATGTAAAGATTAGATAATTAAGTTTATTTTAAGTTTTCTAGTTGATAAATTTAGCACCGTAATGGTTAGTGAACTAGGAATCGTTAGTTAGTTTCGTTATGGCGACTCCGCAACAGAAAGCAATTCATCCCTTGCCACCACGTTCCCCTGACCTCACAGTGTGTGATTTTTTTATGGGGCTACATAAAAGATAAAGTGTATGTACCACTATTACCTACAAACTTGGAAGAGCTTAAAATCAGAATCAAAGATGCTGTTAATGCCATGACACCAGATATGATCAGTAACGTTTGGGAAGAATTTGATTACCGTGTAGATGTGTGTCGAGCGGCCGATGGGGGTCATATTGAACATTTGTAACCAAAGTAAATAAAACTTGACTATTTTAAGAATATATTTTACTTTATTTCACCCTTATATCTTCATTTTTAATTTAAATATGAATTTTTGAAATCGGATGAAGACTTTTGAAACACAGTGCATAATGTAATCTTATTTTTATTAAATTACATTTAACTTTAAAAAATAAATAACACAAACTGAGTCTATTATTTTATGCCTTTATAAATTATATATGCTTATAGATTGTATTTTTATTCATTATGTTATTCAATTTTTTAGATTGTAATAGATATTTAACATTATTATATTAAGTTAAATCACATTAGCTTTTTAATTGCTGTATGTAAATTAAATATTCTGTCCCTTCAAAAAAAAAATTGTGAATACTACATATGCTGCTGCATTAATAGTTATTACAAATTATGTTAATATAATATTGTTTGATCATTTTTTTTTCAGTGGGGTGTTGCTAATTTATTACATCAAGTATCTATGGTTTACATGGAACATACCCTAGTGTCTGTTGTATTGTCCACAACTAGCTTCTTCACTCTTCTGCTATCTCTATTTTTTGTTACACCTTCAACAGATCGTTTTACGGTCGCTAAATTAATAGCTGTATTATTCAGCATAACTGGAAATGTGTGTACTAATTTTTAAATAATAATAAAAACAACCACAATAGTTTGTTCAAAATACAAAATATTATGTATTATTAGTTGAATTATTTGAATTTTCACTTTTATAAAAGTGAATACTTGTCGATTAATTTAAAATAAAATTTGAATGCTTATAAAAAACAAAATTTTAAACAAACTTAAATAAATGTGTGTATTTTTACGATTTTTTTTAAAAATGATGTTATTAATAATTTTATATTTACAGGTTATAATTACATTACCTGATTCTCATTTTAGTTTTAGTGATATTAATGTTGGATTTGCATTATCCTTATGTAGTGCTATTTTTTATGCATTGAATATTGTTACATTACGATCTTGGGTAGATCACGAAGACAAATTGGATATCATATTGTACTTTGGTAACTTTTTCATGTACCAATTGATTTTTCTATTGTGTATTATTATAAAACATATTATTGAATGAGTTATTTTATTTCTAGGGCTTGTTGGTCTATTTAATGTTCTTATGTTTTGGCCGTTGTTCATTTTTCTTCATTATTTCGAACTTGAAACTTTTGAATGGCCTAACAAACAACAAGCAATATCACTGTTCATAAATGGAGTTGTAAAAGCAACATTCCCTGAAGTCATATGGCTATGGTAAAATAAATTGTTATACTTAGCACTTACTTTATTTTACAATTCTAATTTGTATTTTTATGTTAGGGGATGTTTGCTGACATCATCAATTATAGCAACAATGTCTATAGGACTAACAATTCCAATGTCTTTAATGCTGTCTGGCATCTCCAGTCAAAACAAGTCTGATTATGAGCGATTTTTGTTACCATCATTTTATTTAGGTTTAGTTCCTACAACTGTCTCTTATTTTTCTCTAATTTGGTTAACACACCGATTTAATTATAATCAAAATGAATACAATTGTTTAAGCCGTTGCCAGAGAAAAAATTTAATTAGGTAATTAAACAGAAAATGTTACTAAAAAAATATATTATTTATATTTATATTATTTCATCTACAGGCTTAGAGATAGTGATGCCGAACAAGCAGAATCTCTTATACAAATTCACGAAACAGACAAAGAAGTATGATATAAATGATATAATTTATTTAGAAACTCTAAGTTACTCACCATGATTAATTATTTTTTAGTATTTTTACCTCTTTTTGTGCAATGTATTAGACTTATTTACATTATTTATTGTGTGTTACATTACATTTTTGATCCAGATTATGAAGTTAATAAAAATGCAAAATATTATTATTAATATTATTTCTTTAGATTTCTGCTTACATATTTACACCAGAAATGAGTATTATCTTGTCAGTAAATAATGTTTTATTTATATTGTTTATTTTGTGTTATGAACACTGTGGAAAAAGTTAGTATATAATAAAATGACTTATGTGTTAAACATCTGATATTTTGAATCTGGATTACAAATTAAATGTAACATCACATTTTATTTTATCACAATATTATGGTACTTTATGTATAACTTCAAATCTTTATTTAATCTGTGTTATTATTTATATCTAATTTATTTTGAACATATATTTATACATTTTAATCATATTTACTACTAAATGTATAGATTATTGAATACCTAATCTATTTAATTGTTAATTGTATTCCTATAAACCTTTCAACAGTAATCACTTAATATCTATACTGTAGTTTGTAATATCACTTGTTACCACTTATGAAATATACCAAATCGAAAAATGTTTGTCATAGACTCCTAGATCAATGTTTATTATAAAGCCTAGTTAATGTTAGCACTATAAAACTTTGCATCTTTTTAATTATTTAAACTTAAATCGTCATTTTTTTATACAAAATAAAGCAGATACAATAATAAGTATAATTAAACCTTGTTATTTGGGCTACTTTTATAATTCAATAGGTACCTACTTTTAGTAACTTAAAAATTTAATTTTGCATCATTAAATTATTATCTTAAAACTACTAAATTATTGTCAAAGTCAACTTATTCAATGTTAATTTCTATTAATTTGGATACTATTTTTAACGCTTTCATATTATTTTGTTTTTTTAGTCAAATCTTTATTATGAACTCATTGAATTTATGGTAACTACTACATTTATATGAATCTGTTAGAAAAATATTGTGTATTTCTATATAAAACCTTTAAAAATTATTGAACAATAACTTAAATTTATATCCAAGATGTCTTATCCAAGCAGTATAGTTGTATAAGTCATGTTCTATAATGACATTAGCCAATGGATTAAAGACTAATAAAGTTATCTTACTAATACCTATACTTAATGTACTACACTTAATTAAGTAACCAAACCAATTTAAAATACCTATACTTATAACACAGACGTCAGTAATATACAAATATACAATCACTCATTTGAAATATAATTATCACTTTTTGGTTTCTACGTCCATGAATTCTCAATCCATAGTTCCGTACTCTTCACTAAAAGTGTAAACTAAGGGAGAGTGAAAATTTATCCAGGCTGCCCAATCCCTTTTTCTAATTAGATATCAAATTTTTGGTTTGAAAAAAGACTTGAAAATTGAATACAAATTACAAGTTCCCTCTTAAATTGTACTGTTGTAGTAATAGTTATTGAAAAATATATAAGATACATAATATGTATGATTCTTTTTATGACAAAATTCATTAAAATCTATAAAACATTTGCAAATTATTTTGCACCTAGTTAAAAATGTATAAGATGTTCAATTTGTATACCTAAGGATTGAAAATTTAAAACAAATTTTCTCAAAATTAGTTTGTACTGAAACCAACAAAAAACCCAGTTTTTTTTATTTGTATTTTAAGTCCAACTTTGGACAAAATTAAATATTAAACAAAGAAAAACAATTTTAGTTATTTTGGTTGTAGTTTAAAAATATAAATTTTGGGTAGGTACTTGAAACTTTAAAAGTATGTTATTAGTTTATTACATTGAATGGCAAAATAGTGTGTCCCGTGACGATATATCCATTAGCCGTAGAGGGAGACTCGCCGCCCAGACAAAAACCAGTTTTTTGCTGTATTACCTAAATACTAAAAAATTATTAATAATCATGAAACTATTGAAATAAAATGTTGAAGCGTCAACATTTTTAGAAAAATAAACTCTACAAAATTCAAAAATTGATTTCTTGAATTTTTTTATAAATGAAAATGAAAAAATAATTTTTTTATTTGTTTACCAAAAAATTAAATAAAATTTAAAAAAAAGACACATGTAGTCTTTGTCTCTGTGCGTCTAATAAAAAAAAAACTGGTTAATGATTTATCATCTCATTATATATCGCAATGGGTAAATTCTCGTGGGACACCCTGTATATGCAATTTTTCGCCAATAATTAATTGAACCTAATATCTTTTAGTAAAATAAATTACTTTAATAGGAATAATATCATAAAATATACTTGGTAATATAGGCTGATAGACCATCTCCTCTTAGAATCATTTTTTGAGTACATTATATTATTGAATTCAAATTTAACAGGTCCATTACTACAGTAACCCCTCTTGACAGACTGTACAGCAGAGTAGTACCTACTTGCACACCTTTCATTCATCATTACTAAGATTTTCTTTGACAAATAATTTAATTAAAACATTAAACGGTAGTTAAATTAGGTGATTGTTATTATTAAAATGAGGTTTAATTTAACCTCATTACAAACATTTTTCTATCAATAGAAATTGTACCGATCCCATGATTTTTTCTAGAACTTTATCTCAAAAGAAAACCGGTTACAGTCAAATATTTTTTGGTGTCTAATAGTTCAAGATTTGGGTGGTTAATTATAAAAATGTAACACCAATTGAATTTTTAATACAAAAAAATTATCATCATGGTGCAATATGGGTTCTAGGCTATGGACAACTTCCCATTTCCAGACCATCTAGAATGGCCCTGGCTTAACCTATGTCATTGTTAAGTATAAAATGTTAATTGATATGTATTTTTTTTTTTATAATTTGTTATCATTCAGTTTTTAATCTAGGTGTTTTAATCTAGTTGCCAATACATTAACTAACTCATAAAATAGAAATTACTAAATAGAAATCTGAACATTTTTTTAGTTTATTATTAGAAATTACAATCACATCACCTACATTCTTCATACAAGTAGAAACAATTAATAAATTATAATTTTTCTTTCAATGTATAGTTATTAAATTCTACCAATTGAATAAGTAGTTGTATTTTATTATTACACACAAAATTTATTTCATACATGTTTTATTCAACTTTAAATTGTACAACAATCTTAAAAATATATTTAAAGAGTTTCAGCTACTACACAGATATAACTTTGCTGTAATAACTTTTCAGAAATATTTATCTGAATAAGTAAAATGTTTCACATCTTCTTGAGGCCATTGTTTAGGCATATACGGTCTGTATCGTTTACACCAATAATCCCCAGAAATCATCAATCCACTTATTCCAAAAACTGCTGCGAACAATGACAATACTCTCTGCCAGTCAGGATATCTAGCTTTTTCTCTATAATTTGGGTCACCTTTGTCTGAACCCCACATGTCAGCATGAACGTGCAATATCTCACCTAGGAAAATAAATAAAATCATTAAAATCATTTCATAACACCAAGGTTAAGTAAACAACTATTTTATAAGCTTACCAAAGTTTCTATTATGTTCAGGGCAGTCCCATGGATAATATTCACTTTTGGAATCTTGGCCAATGTCTGGTAACTTTGGGTAGTCACCAAAACCTAGACCATCATCAGGGTGTGGTGCATACTCCTCTGGTAATAGGCCGTACTTCTTAGCAGCAGCTAGTCGTTCTGCTTCAGTTTTTGGATATGGACCGGGCTTCCAGGGTTCGTGTGATACCACACTTCTGCTAGACACTGAATAAATAGCTTTGGTTCGCAGCATCCCATTAATTACACGGGGTAAAGCCATGTTGGAATGCTACTGAGAGCAAAATTGGATAATCGGTTTAATGTTAAATTAATTTTGATCAAAGAACAGTAACTCAGCTTATCAAAGATACTGCAGCAGTAATACTGCCATATAGAAATACTGGAGTGTGTACTTGATTCTGGATTATATTTTACAGTAAATTTTCGGAAAATAAATAATATTGATAACGGCGAAGGACATTTAATAACCAGACGTAACCACGGCAAATTCTGAGGTACTAATCTTCAACCACGAATGCAACAACCAAAGTGCTACCAGCATAGAACAATATGCTACCAGTGTGGTTCTTCGCTGGACGTTTTTGTCAAACAGAGTTTGTTCTCCTTATCTCTAGTTTTCATGTTTACAACATAACCCGATGGCGATAACGTGAATGACTCGTATGAACCATGTACATAGAAATTGGAAATTACTAAATAGTTAACCAGTATTATAGTGTAATATCTGTTCAGTTTTCAGTTATTGTTAATTGTTATGACGTACACTCAAATTTAAATTTAATTTTAAATTTACAATGTCCGACACCGAGGATGTATACATGTGTGAAGATGACGAAGATTATGGTCTTGTAAGTATAATTTACACCATGACTACCTATGTGATGTACACTCTTTTGTTTTCAATTTTTCATTATAAAACTTCAATTCCCATTAATATATGTTTGAAGTATAATACACTAACTCACATACATATGTATGTATTAATTATATTCTTAATTTTTTTCAATAGGAATACTCAGAAGATAGCAATTCTGAACCCGATGTTGATTTAGAAAATCAATATTATAACTCAAAATCGCTAAAAGAAAAGGATCCTAACGCTTCATTAGTGTCATTTCAAAAAGTATTAGATCTTGAAGCTGGTGAAAAAGGAGAATGGGGTTTCAAAGCATTGAAACAAATGATCAAAATTAATTTTCGTCTTGTGAGTTTAAAATTCAAATATATTATCTGAATATTTAATTTAAATAAATGTGCATGATTATAATTATTTTTTATACCACGTATTAAATATTTAATGTATCTATATGTATAGATTACATAAATACAATTAAATCTATTACTACTTTTAACTATATCAAAAAAAAATATATGGCAAGTACCTAATTTGTACTTTGTTTTATTATTATTTTTATTTTTTAGAGTAACTTTGATGAAATGATGAACCGTTATAAGCAATTATTAACATACATAAAAACTGCAGTTACTCGGAATCATAGTGAAAAATCTATAAATTCAATTTTAGATTATATTTCAACTTCAAAAAATGTAAGGTTTTATTACATAATAGATGGTAGATGGTTTAACCACTTATTAAAAATATATTTAACATTGTGTATGTTTAATGTAGATGGATTTATTGCAAAATTTCTATGAGACAACTTTAGATGCATTGAAAGATGCCAAGAATGATAGACTTTGGTTCAAAACTAATACAAAATTGGGTAAATTGTATTTTGATTTAGCCGATTACAATAAACTGACAAAAATTCTGAAGCAGTTGCATGCTTCTTGTCAAGTAAGATATACCTACTAATTGACTTTGTATATTTTGTAATTTTTGTTGTAATACAATTTATAGTATTAAGTAACAATGGGATACTGTTTCGCAGTGATGGCTTGTGGGTGCTGGTGGTGGGGTTGCGACTTTAAGACGTATGAGTATATGACACCAATATACATCCTACTAGTCGCAGGTCGTAGTGGAAAATATATATTAAAGTAATAATAATAGTGGTTAGCAACCGACAACGCTGTTAATTTTAAAAATAAAGTACCCAATATAGTGTGAAAAAAATATATTAAACCCAATGTATTAATATTTTACTGTATGAACGATGCTGCCGGTCGTCCAATATCCGTACAGAAGACCTCAGGTTAAATGTACCCGCGGGTACACAATTGTAACGCTTCGTTTATACATACGTATTCTGAATATTGCTCGGACGCTGCCGGTCGTCCAAACACTGCTCGTGTGTACATGATACCCATTTGCTCCTGGTATCTGAGAGGAACAAATTTAATGTTCGCACACTACAAATTAATGTATTATAATTTATAACTATTTTATTATTTAAAAATTTGCATTTTTAATAAACATATTTTTTAAAATTTAGAACTAAGTATATACAATTCATTTTCTACATTTAATTAATTTTAGTAGGGTTGCGATCGTCCCATCGTTCAAACCACGAGCCGCCACTGCTGTTTCTGTTCAATTAGAAAATCATAAAGAAATAGAATTTATTGCCATAATTACAAATAACCTGCAATTTATCTGTAAATGTTTCAAACTGTAATTTCTAACTATGAATATTTAATTATAGGTGGCAGTGAGTATTTCTATTTTTGATTTGTCTTTTGCATCAAATTCTTGAGCAGAGTTCACCAAATGGGTGGCCCATAAATATATTTCAATTGGGCCACAAACCAAAAATATTATTTTTTAAATTTTCACTTTCTTGGGGAATCAAATAAGGTTTTCATTTTGTTTTTACTTCATTTAGATAAATTTGTACGCTAAGTTTTTATTGTCCCCAAAAACTACCAAATTTCTCATGTGACTCCAAAAATGTTAATTGTTGACCCCTCCTCTGTGTCTTAAAAGTTAGGCATAGTATTTAAAATGTAAGTGTTGTCTACCTAAATAGGTGTTTGTTGCGTCTGAATTCTTATGACTCTTGATCAGTTTTTTTGGCAGTAGTAGTTTTCTGATGAATTTTCAAACTTTAAAAACTAGAAATTCATTTTTAGTATTAAAAGTTTATAAGATTTGCTATGTCAATGTGTTTGTGTCTCTTAATATACTGTGTATGCTTACAATTTCAGACTGATAATGGTGAAGACGATCTTAAAAAAGGTACTCAACTATTAGAAATTTATGCTTTAGAAATACAAATGTATACAGCACAAAAAAACAACAAGAAATTAAAAGAACTTTACGAACAGTCACTCCATATTAAATCTGCTATTCCACATCCTTTGATTATGGGCGTTATTCGAGGTGAATGAAATATTAAATAATTAGAATTTATACTACAGATTAATAAACTCATTATATATTTTATAGAATGTGGTGGTAAAATGCACTTAGAAGAAGGTCATTTTTCTAAAGCACATACTGATTTTTTTGAAGCTTTTAAAAACTATGATGAATCTGGAAGTCCTCGTCGTACAACATGCTTAAAATACCTAGTTTTGGCAAACATGTAATAGTTTTAAATTAACCATGTTAATTAATAGTTATTACTAGTAATTATAATTATCTAAATTTAAGGTTGATGAAATCTGGTATCAACCCATTTGATTCTCAAGAGGCTAAACCTTACAAAAATGATCCAGAAATATTAGCAATGACTAACTTAGTCCAAGCTTATCAGAACGATGACATTAAAGAATTTGAAACTATCTTAAAAAATCATCGTAAAAACATAATGGATGATCCATTCATTAGGGAACACATTGAAGGTAACTTGGCCAATTAGCTGATAAAAGTTCTTGTATTAAGTGTATTATGTTTAATTACATATTTTATATTGCAGCCTTATTAAGTAATATTCGCACTCAAGTATTGATAAAATTAATTAAACCCTATACTCGTGTTCATATACCGTACATTGCAACGGAACTCAATATTGAAGAAAGTGATGTTGAAAATCTTTTAGTTACGTGTATTCTGGATGAGTAAGTACAATATTGCTTACCTCTTTTTTTAAATATTATTTTTGCTTAATATAATTTATATTGTAGAACCATTAAAGGCCGCATTGATCAGACAAATCAAGTGTTAACTTTAACTCTAGTTGATTCAGCAACCAACCGTTATGCAGCCATAGATAAGTGGACCAATCAACTAGCTACCCTCAATTTATCTATTTCACAAAAAATATTTTAATAATGTTCAATGTATTTTTTTTTTAAATAAATATTTTACAACATAATATATATTAATGTCTGAAATGTTCTAATTTACATATTTTTGAAACTATTTTTAGCAGTTTGAAAAATACACTGAATATTTTTTTTATAATTCATCTCTATCTTTGATTTTTTCTAGCAATGTTGTAAAGAACTTGGCTTTTGATAATAATAATTTTGCTTGATTTTGGTTATTTTCTCTAAAAGCTTTTGATAGTTCCCTATTAACATAAAAATATTGATTATATTCCTTGAAAATATTAATCCTAATTAAATGATTTAACTAACGTGTATAAGATGACCAACATATCATCAATATCTTTCTTCAGACGTTCTAGAGATTCTTTTGAATCAACTTGTTCGACTTTTTCATTCCAATCCATTATTTCGCATAAAAAAGTGGTATCCATTGTTATGGAATCTTCTTCAATACTCAAACCACCAAGGTTTAACATATAAAGGCCTCTTAGAAGTGGATTCAATAGAGTCATATAAGATTTGTTTAATAGAGAAGAAAATGATTCAGATAGTAATTGTTCTTCCTAAAACACAATTCATTAAAAACATGATTATAACTAAATACATTGGTAAGACAAAATTCACTTCAGATTTGTTGGAAAATCTGTCTGGATGCATAAGGTTTTGTAGTTTTCTAAAATTTGATGTTAACTGTACAGTATCAATGTCGTACTGAACATTGATATTAAACAGCTCAAAATAATTTAAATTCTGGTCTTCAGACGACTGAATTATTGAACAATTTTTACAAAACAGACTAGGTCTGGAGTCTAATATTGTTTGACAGTTCCAACATTTGAACGCGTCATAAGTTGCATACGAATGGCCCTTGAATTTATTATATCTTATATTGACTTTCTGTTGATTTAAGGATTCTGAAAATTGTCTAGCTCCAGAATGATGAACGCTGTGGCATACTGTTCTTAATAAACTATCTCCAAACATACTGGTACGCCAATACCGCATCACAAACATCATAAAATATGTACCTATAATAAATAATAAACAAAAAATCTAATTTATAATATCAATACTTATGTATTGAACTTAACATAGTAATATTAGATTAGAATAAAACATTACGTGTGTGTAAGTATAATATTTGTGAAATATATAGACTTTATACTCAAACTATTGTGAAACTTAATAACATTTTAAAGTATTACATTTATAATTATTAATTTTAACTTTGCTCATTGCAAAATGCAAATTAATGTT